CTGGGGGGGACAGGGGGAGGAAGGGGAGGGAACGGGCGGGAGTGAGAGAGAAGGGGGCGGCCAGGGCTACAGCACGGGCGCTACCACACGGCCCCTCCCGCTGCGCCGCCTCCTGCCGCGAGGGCTCCGCTCCGGTTGGCGGGGAGGGAAGGAAGAGGACTGCCCTGCAGGGCGCTCTGGTTCTCCGCGCCGCCGCCCCCTACAGGGCGGCCGGAGCGGAACAAGAACAAACAAACAAATAAAAAAAGCGGCTGTGCCGCCCTAGGATTGGGCAGAATGCCGCCTCGAACAATCTGCCGCCCCAAGCACCAGCTTGTTCAGCTGGTGCCTGGAGCCGGCCCTGCATAGGAGGAAGGATTTCAGGCACTTGTGCCCTATAAAAGAGGTGATCCACCTTGCTAGAGGGCTCTATCTACGATGACTACTACTATTAGGAGGCTGCACTTGTTTTTAATCAAACTTTCTAAGTTCCAAGGGGACTAGGCTAAGCTTAGTTTCCCTAAGCTTTTGTTCTTAGTTTTGTTTAGCATATGCAATCTTGGAACTGTTTGCAATTGTCTTTGAGAACACATGGAGGAGGGGTGAAGTCCCAGAAGACTAATGAAGGGGAAACATAGTGTCTTTAAAAAGGGGAACAAAGAGGACCTGGGGAATTATAGACCAGTCAGCCAGACTTCAATACCTGGAAAGATATTGGAACAAATTATTAAACAACCAATCTGTGAGCACCTGAAGGATAGCAGAGTTATAAGGAACAGCCAGCATGAATTTGCCAAGAACAAATCATGCCAAAACTACTTAATTTCCTTCTGTGTCTGGGTTACTGGCCTAGTAGCTAGGGGAGAAGCAGTAGATGTGCTATATCTTGATTTTAGTAAGGCTTTTGATAGTCCCACATCACATTCTCATAAGCAAACTAAGGACATGCGGTAGATGAAATTACTATAAGGTGGGTGCACAATAGGTTGAAAGACCGTACTCAAAGAATAGTTAATGGTTCGCTGTCAAACTGGGAAGACATATCCAGTGCGGTACCACGAGGGTCAATCCTGGGGCAGGTATTAGTCAATATTTTCATTAATAACTTGATAATGAAGTGCAGTGTATGCTCGTAAAATCTGCAGATGACACCAAGCTGGGAGGGGTTGCAGGCACTTTGGAGGACAGGATTAGAATTCAAAAAAGACCTTGACAATTTGGAGAATTGGTCTGAATTCAACAAGATGAAATTAAATAAGGACAAGTGCAAAGTACTTCACTTAGGAAGGAAAAATCAAATGCACAGCTACAAAATGGGGAATAATTGGCTGGGTGGTAGTGCTGAAAAGGATCTAGAGGTTATAGTGGATCACATACTGAATGAGAGTCAACAATGTGATGAAGTTGCAAAAAAGGTTAATATCATTAACAGGAGTGTCATATGTAAGACATGGGAGGTACTTGTCCTGTTCTACTCAGCACTGGTGAAGCCTCAGTTGGAGTCCAGTGTCCAGTTCTGGGTGCCACACTTTAGGAAAGATGTGGGCAAATTGGAGAGAATCCAAAGGAGAGCAACAAAAATGATAAAAGGTTTTGAAAGCCTGATCTGTGAGGAAAGGTTAAAAAAAACGGGACACGTTTAGTCTTGAGAAAAAGACGACTGAGGAGGACCTGTTGATAATCTTCAAATACGTTAAGACCTGTTATAAAGAGGACAGTAATCAGTTGTTCTCCATGCCCACAGATTGCACTTGCAGAACTACAGTGGGCTTTCTGATATGCCATGTCAGACTACAGGCACATTTAACAGCTTCACATGAGGAGCAGGGTGATTTAGTGGTTGCCGAAAGGCCTTGATGCAAAGGCTAAGTTAGTGACTTCATTGGATAACCTTTAACAAGACCCTTGGATCTCAGCCAGTCCAGCTGCTAAACTGTGTAAATACAGATGCTGCATAAGAATTCAATTCACATAAAATTGCCTGAGATCCATTTTGCCTGTGGCTTAGGACACTAACAATAACTGTAACATAGGAGCGTACAGGGCTGGCTCCAGCTTTTTTGGCGCCCCAAGCGGCGAAGCAAAAAAAAAAAAAGATAAAGCCGATCGGCGGCACTTCGGCAGCAGTTCAATCGCGCCACTTCATTCTTCTGCGGCAATTCAGCGGTGGGTCCTTCGCTCCCCCTCTTCCTCTTCAGCAGCACCTCGGCGGCAGCTCAAAGAGGAAGAGAGGGACTGAGGGACCTGTCACTGAATTGCCGTTGAAGACCCGGACGTGCCGCCCCTTTCCATTGGCCACCCCAAGCACCTGCTTCCTTCGCTGGTGCCTGGAGCCGGCCCTGGGAGTGTATCTCCTCCTTCAGGCACTAGAGGAATTTATCTGTCACAGCTGTCAGTCAACGACAGGCTTAAATCTTGTCACATCGGACTCTGCAGCTTTTCCAAAGTAAGATCAGGAATAGTTATTCCCTTGCTTTCTCCTGCACACATTGGACATCGAGAGGAATTTTACAGAGAAGGGAAACAGAAGCAGAGAGATCAGGGGAAGGGACTTGCCCCAGGTCATAGAAGTAAGAGAAGGACCTATTAAGCCACCCAGTCCATCTCTACGCTGAGGCCCAACCACTTGTGGTTTGTGATGTTCAGTTTTACAATGTACTGAGTAAGGAGGCTTCTACCACTTCTCAAAGGAGAGGAATCCATAGCCTAATATATCACACTACTGGGAAGTTTTCCTTGACATTCAGCCAGGATTTTCCCTTTCTTAATTTCAAACCATTACCTCTAGTTATTCCACCCTACTTAACTCCTCTCCTTCCTGGGTAATTACATATTTCAACTTACACCTTATTCCCCCCTTTTAGCCAAATTACACTTAAGATCACTTACACTACAAACACGAAACTTTTTCTCTTGCTTGTGTGGACAGAAAAAGACATGTATAGGAACCATGTTTTAGCCTAAGTATCTTAAAGAGTTTAAACATGGTTTCCCAACATCTATATGACAACTTGTTCTCATCTACGCCAGCAAGAATAAATCCCGTTCTAACACTGTTCGCCGACAGCCACGCTTAGACATGGCTATTTTTAAAGCACAGACAGGGCCTTAATCTTTCCTCTGAAATTGATCCCTCCACCTGCCTGATCATTTTTTGTTGCTCTTTATTCTTCAGGATTGAAGAAAATCAGAATGCACAATAGGGGGATTTCACCACTCCGTGGAGA